GTGTGTGTGTGTGTGTGTGTGTGTGTGTGTGTGTGTGTGTGTGTGTGTGTGTGTGTGTGTGTGTGTGCGTGCGTGTGCGTGTGCGTGTGTGTGGACGTTTGGATTGTTCTTTGCCTCACCTTCACGGAATTCCCATCCGAGGACTCGTCGGCGCCGAAGTTGAGGCCCTTGTAGTCATCGACGACGGCGTAGGAGTAGCTGTAAGGGCGCGCGGGGTGCTTGTAGGCCGGTGCATGGTGGGGAGGGGGGTACTGCGGGTGGGCCAGCGAGCACGCCAAGACGCCCACGAGAGCAACAAACATAGCCTGGGCGTGAGAGAAGAGAGGCAACACGCATATTATTTTTCTTGACCAGGTTGTTCTTATTTCTCGTTCGTGCTATGCATGAAAAGTGATTTCTTTGTTGCAAATGACTCCCTGACGCTGGAGGGACATGGATGTGTGTGGTGGGGGGGGGGGTAGTGCTCGTTTACCACAGACCAGATGGCTGACAGTCTGGATTTGCAAGAAAGGTGTTGAACGTCACTTTATTGCCCACTCTTGGGAAGCTAATTTTTATCATTACATAGATGATCATGACTTTTATGACAGTGCGATTAGAGTTTCCGTATTGTTGTACTGAATTAGAGTATATAACAAGTGAATGGAACTTTTGATATAAATTATTATGAGCAAGTATAGTTATCAAGGGGAGTCGGGTCATAACATGTAAGGGCGAAACACAATAGAATATTCATGAAGAGTCGTCGTAATTTAGGCTAGTTAGCATTCATATTACTGATATTGGATATGCGTGGCATTATGTGCGAAATAAGCGATATTGAAGCGAGGGGCGTTAGGGTTCGGTTGGCTGATGCGCCATCAAAAGCCGCTTTTAATGAGACTGTGATTTGTTACCCTTAAATATGTTTTTAATTGAATTCATGAGCGGTGATTGCAGCGATGCAGAGGGATGATCAGGATAATTGGTCTAATTGTTTGCCATCTTACCCCTTCGTCAGATCCGTCATGTTGGTCAAGTGGAAACTCTGACAAGGTCATTGTTTTTTTCTGAAGTTTCTTGGATTTTATTTTATTTTATTTGCAATGTGTACTAATATGTAAAACAAAAGATTTGGCAAAAATGGGAAAAAGAACAATCGAATCGAGTTTACCTGGACAGCAGCCATCTCTCTTTGCTAGGTAGAGGAAGGAGTAGTAGCCAGAAGAAGGCGATCTGCAGGAGTGGATGGGTTCGAGCAGAAGCGTCTACCATTTATACGGCCCGAAAGTTGCTACAGCAGAAGGCACGAGTGATTTGGACATCGCTTAATTGACAGGGACTCTCGAGCGCGGTTTGCGGCCTTGCTCGCCACCTGCTGCCAGTCCCTTGTACCTGCGTAATGTATCTCTTTGCTCCGGTGTCTCAAGAGTCCTTGGGGTACAGGAATATCTTCGGGGAAGAGACAAGCGTAGGGAAGACTTGAGATACAGGGGTATCTTTAGCAAGTATGAGGAAATTTTAATCTTGGCTTCACGTCATCGGTTGCGATTTGTCTCTCGGCTTGTAGACACGAAATTGAACCAATTATCGCGTGGATGATCACTCCCCTGTCAAGCGCTGTGACTGGGATAACGATCACGGGTGTGCAACCAGAAATGATAATGATAATATTCCCAACGTCTACCTATAGGTAGGCGCTGGGTTTTCGATGATTTTCAACCCGTGTAGAACTACAGGTTTTAAGAGCCCCGCTGCAGCTAATGGGCCGCGGATGATGCCTATCTATCTTTAGCACTTAAGCTTCACTCTGGGTAGAGGGTAATGGACTGCTAATCCCAGGGGAATTTCGTGTTATTAAAAGTGATTATGCTATTATGCTGCTCTTTAAGTAGGTCAGTAGACTAGGGGATGGCTGCATATCAAAATATTGGATTAAATGGGTTGTGTGTGTGTTATTGTGGTGCGTGCGCTTGCTTGTGTCTGTGTTTGTGTATGTGCTCATATTATATTATTATTTTTTTATATATATGTACCCACATAGACACACAAACAAACACGCACGCATTCATGCATGCACACGCACGCACGCACGCACGCACGCACATACACACACACACACACACACACACACACACACACACACACACACACACACACACACACACACACACACACACACACACACACACACACGGGCGCGCGCGCGCGCATGTTTGCTGATACTTTTTATACATACTCAGGGAAGTTAATTACACACACTTCACATTAAAGGATATCTTCATCTGTAAGACGTGGTTTCAAAGGATCTGCAAATTAATTAGTAATACGATACATTTCTGAAGCTGGAAATTCGAATAAAGTCTAATATAGCCTCGGAATTCGAGGAAGGGAGAGATGGATTGAAATAAAGTAGCAAAGAAGAGAGAGAGAGAGAGAGAGAGAGAGAGAGAGAGAGAGAGAGAGAGAGAGAGAGAGAGAGAGAGAGAGAGAGAGAGAGAGAGAGAGAGAGAGAAATGAGAAGGATAGGGCAGGAGAAATTCGTGCTACGTATGACATATTGTACTGAAATATTATGTAATAAATTACTGGAATGCTTACGTGCATGTCGTTTATCCCTAAAATATAACTTATTGTGTGCTGCTGGCATTCATACTGACTGAGAACCTTAGTCCCTCGTAGAAGATCTTTTGTGTGGACCTTGTAGCTTATCAGTTAGCTGTAGCAGATGTAATGTAAACGTTATATGACAGGTAGATGGATAAATTTAGATAATGTTTTTTTATTAGAGATTTATCAGTGTATCCTCCTTAAACGCTGTGTCAGTATACACGTGTGCCTAAAAAGTACGTGCAGTATGCAAGCAGCCGACGGGTAAGCTAAGGCATGTAACGTACAGAGTCAAGTTACTGAATCATATGCAAACACCAAACCGTATGTGTATCACTTTCTTTAAGATGTGAAGTGCCTGCAGGTTTTTACATCGAGGACCTCGATAAAAATAGTGTAGATAGTGTTTGCTTAATAATTCGAAAGTATATTGTAACTAAATGAGAAGAAAGTCTCTCGATTAAGGTAAAACCTTTAAAAATTGACAAGAAGCGAGAGGGAAAACAGGTACAGATTTTTATTTTTAGACACCTTTCATTATTAACATAAATAATGCTAATAATAATAATAATAATAATAATAACAATAATAATAGCAATGATAATAAAGTGTAGTATTGATAAAGAATTTTAAAATAAAATCATAGATGCATTTGTTCCTTTCAGCATTAGGCGATGATAAAATATTTGGGAGTGTTCAGAGCTCTTCCATTTGAAAATGCCACTTGAAACGTCTTAATAAATCACGGAAGGTTCCAAATTGCGATATCATAATCACTGGACCAAACGTTTATTGTATATTCAACTTGTTTGTCTTTCCAAATTTAGTGGTTTTCTGCTTTCACGTGTCAGGTTGCGGGAAAGCACATGTAAACTAAAAAAAGAAGAAGAAGACGAAGAAAAAAAAACGGCAGGAACGCGCAGGTACACACGTGGTAAGGAAGGCAAAACAGTTCAAAGTAAATAACGTTTAAACTTCTTAGAGACACGGTCTCTGTTCTAAGAATAATTCATGTATTTGCTTTCTAAAGACGGGTCGGAGAGCTTGTAGTGCCGTAGTGAGCAAATATTGAAAAAAAGGGTAAGGAGATCGATTTTGGAAAAAAAACGCTTTCAGCATTTTGAGCATGGTAGTAGAAACCTTAATTTCAGAATGTCGGTACCTTACTGTCGATTACTTACTCTCTTGCCCAAAACCACATAATGATTGTTGATAAACTATCTGGTTTAAGGTACTTTTATGTTTTATGGACACACACATACACATACACATACAAATCCAAATGCAATAATATATATATATATATATATATATATATATATATATATATATATATATATATATATCACACACACACACACACACACACACACACACACACACACACACACACACACACACACACACACACACACACACACACACACACACACACACACGTATGTCCACATACTGACAGAGCTTATATGTGTGTAAGTTGGTATGTGTTGATATATTATGCTTTCCAAAATATGTTACATTATAATAAAACCATATAATTTCTAATTTAACATGTGCACTCGTCTCCTAGAAAATATTTCTTTTCGAGTGTTTGCCAGCCAAAGTTGTTCTCGTTAAGGCTAAACATAGACCTCTTAGCCAATACCTCAGCATGCAGGAATGGCATTTGCTTGGACAGGTGTGAGAATAACACTTTCGACATTCTTTTCTGGAAAAAAAAACATTTTGCATGACGAGAGCCAAGGAAAGCTGTAATAAGATTTTTGATAGAGAAGAATTTTGATAAAGTGATATTCGTTGGGATATATTTTTATCTTGCTCTGTGCCTTTGTAAATATAAGTCTTTGGTGATTTCAGTTGTGATATCAAGTAATTACTTCATGAGCTGTACCAGGTTTTGACTTTCAACATCGCACAACTGATTGTTCTTCTGAGAGAGTAGTAGATTTGTCACAATTGACACAACAGTCGCAGTTTCTGGTTTACCAAGGTTGAGAAACAAACAAGCCAAAATCTCCCAAACTGAGATCTTGTGTTCCCAAAAGATGGACTTTTACTTTTTTCTCCATTTTTTATTTCCCTTTGAACTGATGGAGGGGGGGGGGTCCAAACGGGGCGTAAGTTCATTACGGAGACGACATTCAAGTAAACTTTCTTTTAATGGGAGCCGCAAGTCCACGTCGGGGAGAAGGATTAAGCCGAGACGAAGGACCCCAGACATGCCCGGACGCCAGAGGCACGAGAATGGGGCTCGTCGCGGGAGCCGGGCGGGGGCGGGTTCGAGGGAGATGTGGGCGAGAGAAGGATTGAAGGCAATGAAACATGTGCACACACACACACTCACACATAAATGAGAGTGAGAGATAGCGAGTATGGGTGAGTGTGCGTGCGTACGTGCGTGCGTGCATGCA